CAGTCCCAACGGATTACATAGTCCAGGAAATATAGAGTTGGACGCGACTTTTTGTTTCGGCAATCTGAATTTATCACTATAGATGCTAAATATTATGTACAATAACATATTAGTTTCCACAGCCATAAAAATGGGGGGAAGATTGTTTACAGGGTGGTTAATCGTATAATTTTTACGTAAATTCACGTTTTTAGCTTATAACTCTTATCCTTTCATTTCCACGAAAAAACAGTAAAGTACTTTTCTTTCGTCTTCAAAAGATTTACAAAACTAGCCCTCGAGCGTCAAAAAATATTGATTAGATCAAAAGTTATAAATAGAAGAAGTTTATTTATGACTTTTGAATTGAACATTTATAAACTGCGTTATTATTACCAGAACGTTTTGGCATCGCATCTTCTCATTCCTTATCACTGTCTAATAATTCACACGAAATCTGGAATCCGTAAGTTGAATAGTTTACAAGTTATGGCCTTGTAAACAAATTAACTTATTATTAGTCTGGACGATCCCGAGCATCTTCCACAATCGCACTGATTTTTTTCAAAGTAGATTTCGTAATAATACGTTGAAATATATCATTTTTTTTTAATTTGAAATTTGCAACCTGGAAATTTTTTTATTTTTTAGCCTTAGTTGAAAAGTGAAATATACGACGCACGAGCGTGATATAGTTATAACGAGCGTTCAAATAAAAACGTGGTCGAAGTTGGCTCTGACACATTGGGCGTAGGGAGTAGCTTATAGCGACCAACTTAACCTCATTTCTCAACGAGCTGTATNCTTTTTCTATTTTCTGTTCTAATTCTCAATCACTTATACTTTCTTTTGGTCACAAATTTTCTTTTCTACCAACACTCTTCTTCATCCGATATTTTATAGATTAAAGCAATAAGTATACACAGCAATCACATAGCGTAATGTATACCTATATACGGGGTGTTCCACGCCAAATCGGACGGTTCGAAAAATTCAAATTTTCGATTTCCTTAATTTTTTGATATTTTTTAGTACCCCTCAAATAAGCCTTTCTGAGATTTTTTTTATTACTTGTTCAAAAGACATAAAATTTTCAAAAAAATGCTCTTTTTTGGTTTTTTGATCATAACTTTCTTAATAATGGTCCAAATTAAAGCTTTTTTTATTAAAATCTTTGTTTTTAGATGGCCTTTACAGATTAAGATACAAAAAAAAATATTCAGTGTTTTTGATAAAGATTTTTGAGTTTGAAATTTTAAATTGTGTTTTTGATCTTTCGATTTTTGTGAAAATATTTTATTTCAAACTACTATTCTTTTAACAACTTTTAGGACCGATCCGGTCGTGGGCCCTCCAAAATAGCATTGATAAAATAATTTTTAAACAATTTTTAGAAGAACACGAAAATAAATAAAAACGTTTGTTATAATTGTTTATAAATAGACGTTTACTTATTGATTTTAAACACCTATTAATAATTAAAAAGTATTAAAATTAATTTAAAATAAGTAAAAAAGTGAATACAGTGACAAAAATCGGTACTTATAATGATTTATAGAGAAAAATTTAATTTTCAAAAATCAAAAAAAAATAGTAATTATGGAGGGCCCACGACCGGACCGGTCCTAAAAGTTGTTAAATGAATAGTAGTTTGAAATAAAATATTTTCACAAAAATCGAAAGATACACTCACTTTCAAAAATACGATTTAAAATTTCAAACTCAAAAATCTTAATCAAAAACACTGAACATTTTTTATATTTTTATCGGTAAAGGCCATCGAAAAACAAAGATTTTTATAAAAAAAAGCTTTAATTTGGACCATTATTAATTAACAAAGTTATGATCAAAAACCAAAAAAAGAGCATTTTTCTGAAAATATTATATCTTGAAATAATCATAAAATTCTCACAATTTACCAGAAAGGATTTTTTGGGGAGTACTAAAAAACATCAAAAAATGAAGGAAATCGAAAATTTAAATTTTCGATTTCGATTTGGCGTAGAATGCGGGGAAGGCCCCATACATAACAAGGACTGCCAACTTACAAATAATAAACTCAGCATACTCGTGCACTGTTGCCAAGTTTATGATGCAACTTTAGGCATTTATTTATGCATATTGGGTAAAAAATAGTAATTGAGGAATGGAAATATATAATTTAGTATTTTAAACTTAACGAAAGTGTCTTTTTGACACTTGGTAACAAAAATTAAAATTTCACCATTCTGCGACAGTTTTCAGTCAAAGAAATTCAAATTTCTTTGCAATTTTCCGGTAGCACGTCGTAACGCCGGGAGCGGCCTAGGGGTGAGAATAGGGAAAACGCCCCATTAGTATACAATTTAGCAAAATACCGGAGCAATTAGGATAACTAATAATCCAGTAATTTCCAGGATTAGGACCGCCGCCAGGACGAACTGTTATTTAACCTCTTGTATTTAATTATTCACCGAAACTGTATTTGAATAGAGACCTAATTAAGCCCTGCCTCCCGCGCGGTCCCGCATCGTACGAGCCCGTTGAGCGGCGGCGGCGGCGGCGGCGGCGGCGGCGGCTTGGAGCCCGAGGCTACGCTATCGATTTTGCTCAATTGGATTGTTTGACTACCAAATTGCACTGCACATAATTGTTCTTCTTTTTGTTGCCGAGGAATAGGTCCGGGTTTTGTACCTGCCGCACAAAAGGTATTGTACACACAAAGGTACAGCGAATCGCGCGGCTACACCTCTCGTATCATCAACTGTGTCGAGTCCGTTTCATATTTCGCGTAAATGTAAATGTACAGTTGGTGCGCTTGATTGGGGCATTGTGATGACAATGCTATTCTAATACTTTTATTTCGAAAAATGTGTAATGCGTTAACAAACACATACGCTTTAAGGAGGATCAGGTGCTTCATATCATCGAGGGGGGTGAAACGAGACGCGGGGGGGTCCTATACTTACCATGTTATAAAATCATTGCTCTTCAATGCAAAGAAAAATATTCTTTATGACTAGAAAGTAAATAGATTGAGATACTTGCTTGCAGATATTGAATAAAGTCGAGTTTAGAATACTTAAAATTATATATTTCCATTTCTCAGTTCTGTTATTATTTTTTACCCAACATGCATAAATAAAAGCCACGAGTTGCAACAGAAACTTGGCAACAGCGCACGACTATGCTGAGTTTATTATTTGTAAGTTGGCAGACCTTGTCATGTATATAGGTATGCATTATGCTATGTGATCGCTCATACAGCTGATTGCTTTAACCTATAAAGTGTCGGATGGAAAGGAAAATTTGTGACCAAAAGAAAGTATGAGTGCTTGAGAATTAGAACAAACAATAGCAACAGCAGGAAAAAAGTTATTGAAGAGAAGATTGTGGAGCCTGAACCTCCGCACACCGTTCGAGGGCATCAACTAATCCACTTAGAGTACATGGCACAAGTGATTCGTGTGGAAAAGTTTAAAAGTGATTTAGTTAGGATTTCCAGGAAAAGATTTTTTTTAAGGTAAATTAAATGAATAATTTACATAAATTGCAAAGTTAGCTTAGAACTTGGTAAATAAATCAAAGGGATAATGTGTGGTCAAATAAACACTAAATAGAACATCAAATAGTAGATCAAATATTGGAGCATAAAGATTTCCCTCATTTTAACCTACCTGATTCCCCCAAATTTCCAATTTGATTCTTATCGGTTTCCTATGAGCCCCTTATTCAGGCAGATGGAACGATGGCGAGACCATTATCGAATTAAAGGCGGGATTGGTTTTTCTGCTAATGAATGACGGTAGATAATAGTAGAGAGATTACTCGCTATTGGGATTTCGTTTTTAGGGGACCTTCTGAGAATTGGCGGTAGTTTGTTTTGCTGCCAATTAAATAAAAGTTATTGTTAATTATGTTAATACTTTAGCAGTGAGGGGCGATTTATAGAATAACATTAATAGTACGTATACTTATGTTGGTAAATCTGACTTTCACGTTGTATATTGTTGGTGCTTGCATATGTGACACATGTTGTCTGACCTCAAAAAAAAAACACTTTTCTATAAATAAATCTCGGAGTAAAAAAGTTCGTTCATTTTTTCCTTATCTTCCAAGACTATTTATTTATTTACTCCTTTTTGTTGACTCTTTTATCTTACCGTACCTTTCTTTTTCATGTTTTTTAAGTCTATTTGTTGTCTTGTGTGCCTTTTGTGGATTTCATTTACGATTATGATTTACGAAATGTAGTCTTATCCCACTCCAAACGTTTTGTGACGCATCAAAAGCCTGCAAAACAATGTGGAAAAATTTGTATAATCCAGGAAATACAGAGTTGGACGCGACTTTTTGTTTCGGCAAGCTGAATTTATCACTATAGATGCTAAATATTGTGTACAATAACATATTAGTTTCCACAGCCATAAAAATGGGGGGAAGATTGTTTACAGTCTGGTTAATTGTATAATTTTTACGTAAATTCAAGTTTTTCGCTTATATACCTTTTTCTGCGAGAAAACAGTAAGGTACTTTTTTTCGCCTTCAAAAGACCTACAAAACTTACAAAACTGGCGAGCGTCAAAAAAAAATTTATTAGATCAAAAGTTATAAACAAGAAGTTTATTTATGACTTTTGAATGAAACATTTATAAACTGCGTTATTATTACCAGAATGTTTTGACTGTGGAAACTAATATGTTATTATACATAATATTTGGCATCTATAGTGATAAATTCAGCTTGCCGAAACAAAAAGTCGCGAAATGATCATTTCCCAGCTTATTTTCCTGGCCTATTAGTAATAAAACTGCGAAGTCTGGACTCTCTTTAGCGTTTAACCTAATTTACTCAATATCCGTTTTATAATAAAAATACATTTTATTGTTAATAACATTTTTTTATTTCCTTTCAGATCGTACGGGATTCACCACCACGATGCACTTCGCCAATTTGCCAAACTTAGATGAAGAGAACCTCAAAACATACATCCAAAAGCAGGTAAGACTTTTGTGGGATAAGTTCTTTATCGTAAAAATGATGGACGTTTCCATAAAACTTACCAGCGTATCTTTTAATGTACAGCACAGCCTAACGAGTCAAATAAGCATATTACACCACCATATCCTTGCCAGCCAAAATATTCCGCAAAAAAATATTATTCTGCCGAGAGTATATACGAGATTGCGGGTACGTCGGGAATACTAATCTAATAGGCAGGCATTGGGAGTGATGTCACGTTTGCCACAAATTATGATTCCACATTTTCTTGCCTAGCTACTGCCTTGAAGTGTATTATTTTATAAAATAAATACGTTACGCCCCCACGCCGCTCGTATAAAAAATTGGTAAATCTTTACTCACGTCCAAAGCGTTACATCAAAATGTAAACTGATATTTATTCCGCGAATTTCGAACTGATAATATATCGACGATATTGGCACAACTAAACGAACTCGGCGCGATTAATTGTGGCAATTTCGGCTCTAGCTATTGAGGTATCTAGTTCCCAAATCTGAATATATATTGTCTGAGGAGGCATTACCATAGATATTATATAACTCCAATGTAGACGTAGTTTGCCAGGGCAGCACCGCCTGTCATCGATTTGTATGATTAGATGGAACGGTTCCTTTAATGCAAACCCTCCTGGAGAGTTGCCAACGGATTGCCGAGCGATATTAGGGTAACCGTGGTTGGCTAATATTGTAACATAATACTTGTGTACGCCGCCACTATGATATTCGTGAATTACGAATATATGAATTGTAGGCAACCTACAATGCATGTGAAGGGAGATAGTGTCGGTAAAAGGTGACGAAGCGAAGGGTGTCAGTTGTTCCACATTCGAAGACAGTACATCTAAGCTATCAACAGACTATTAAATTTTGTGAATTTCATTTATCACTATTGATTACAGCTTGAGTTTTTTGCTAGGTTACTTGTTAAGTACTGTTTGTGTGCCAAATACCCACTCGACAAATGAATGTTTTCTTTCCGTTACTTATAACAGTAAGTTTAATATAAAGTTGACACTTGTTTAAATACTACCCACAACCTACAAGTAGTAATTAAGGTATTTAATATAAAAAAAGGCGAAAACAGGGCGTAATTTTGTCGTTTTAACGTGCATATCAAGTCATTTTTTTGTTTCATATTCTTCAAAACGCAAAGAAACCAATTATTATTTATTTATCAATAAATTCTCCTCGGTAACAGTTACTAGTAACAGTTACAGATAACAGTTACGAGCACTGGTTACTATCAGCAGTTACAAGCAGCTATTGCTAGTAACGGATACTAGTAGTAGTTACAGATGACAGTTATTAATTACAGTTACTAGTAACAGTTACAAATAGCAGTTATTCTTCTGTTCTTTCTATTATTATTCAATATACAGCTGTTACAAACTCGTTTCTCACTACAGGGATATCGGAAACGGTAAGTAACACGAAGTAGCTAAAATGGGGGAAAAGTTGCGTAATCAGGAGACCAACATTATGCCTCTGAAAAATCAAGGCTAACATGATTAGTTTTCGAAATATTTGAAAAAAAAAAAGAAATTTTGGAAATCCGTTTTTGTTTAATTTCAGCCTTGTTTGAGGTGATATTGAAAAAAGAAGAATACTTTCTCGTGGCAATTTTTTGCCCTCTCAATCAATCAATTTTTATATGTAACGTTTCATCTCTCCAGGACCATCATCTACTTCATTCTTTTAGACCCTGGAAAATTTATTAAATTTTTTTGCAAGCCTTCATGACCCACAATACTGTACTGCCTCAGCCCGAACAAGATTCAGACGTTTTGTGTCGAAAATTCATCTTCAATGTATTCGTTCCAAATTTATTTAAATTTTTTATTTAGATTTCTATGTTTATTGAATTATCGTACACTCTAAGTATCGTTAGACCCTGTAAAATAAATCAATATACATAGAAATCTAAAAAAAAATAGATACATTTGGAATGAATATATAGAAAATGAATTTTTCAAGACGAAACGTCTGAATCTGGTTCAGGCTAAGGCAGTATAGTATTGGGGGTCATGAAGGCTTGCAAAAAATGTAATAACATTTCTAGGATCGTATTTAAAAAAATGATGTTGATGATGGTCCTGGAGAGACGAAACGTTACATATAAAAATTAATTATGCCATTCGATAGAGGGCGAAAAGATGCCATGAGATAGTATTCTTCTTTTTTTCAAAGAAGGCTGAAATGAAACAAAAACAGATTTCGAAAATTTCGTTTTTTTTTTAAATATTTCGAAAACTAATCATGTTAGCCTTGATTTTTTTAGAGGCATAATGTTGGTCCCCTGATTGTGCAACTTTGCCCCCATTCGGCTACTTCGTATCTCTTACCGTTTCCGAGAACCTGTAACAGCCTTTATTAGCTTCTTAATTAATAATAGTCGAGATAGCTAGAAAGGTTGATTTTAAATGCTTTGAAATAATTCGAATTCGAATTGTTATTAGAACGAGAGGTTTTCATGTCACAAAAAAAATTAAAAAAGTAAACAAAAATGTTTTTAAGTTGAGTGGAGTAAATTAGAGTAATTTTTAGTTCAGTTCTATTTTTTTCTACTAGTTTTGGCTACTATGCCATCATCAGGGAAAAAAAATGAAAATCATTTGAAAAGATATTGCTGCTACATAAACTACTTATAAATACCATAATATTTGTTTAAATGTGAAAATATCAGTAAGTTATTTAAATACTTTTAAGTTACCGTTATAGATTGAGGACAGATTAATTCGTCAAGGAAATATCTTTAGTAAAAAATGTTTATCACTTGTCACAGAAACAGTTGCAAGAAGCAACGTGAAAATAGAAAATCTACTTTACCCTAAAATAGGTTTTAAAACTTATTTTAGGTGGAGTTCCAGAATTATTAGTGCCAGTTACAAATAGTTACAAGTAGCAGCTTCTTGTAACTGAAATTAGTAGCGCAAATAGCAGCTGCTAATAGTTACCGGTAACACTTAAAATTAGCAGTTATTAGTAGCCGTTACAAGCAGCAGTTATAAGTAACAGTTACTAGTAGCAGTTACAGATAACAGTTACTAGTAGCAGTTACAAGTAGCCGTTACAAGTATTTAGTTGAGATAGAAAGGTTTTAAAAGCGTAGAAACATTTTTGCTTCGGATTGTCCATTGAATAAGAGAATTTCGTGTCACCAGAAAAAAAAATTGACAAAAAAAAGAAAAAAGTATTTTTAGTAAAGAAGGTTTTAGCTTTAAATTTTAAGCTGTTACAAGCAGTAGTTCGAAAAAAGAAAATATACTTTCTAAAAACACATTTCAAAAATTACTGTACGATAGTGGCTTTAGTCTAGATATTTCAAAAATAAATATTTTTTAGTTAATAATTGTCGAGAGCTGTTCATGAAAATTTTCAAAGAAAAATTCTCAATTATTTTTGTATTGCAAAAAAAAAATAAAAACCGTGCAACTAAATAATTATTTTGTGTGAATTGACTTTAGAACAAACTTCCTATATTCTAAATTGCACATTTATAAACTGACTGAAAGAAAACATCTCTTTTTCCTGAAACTTTAGCCGAAAAAGGTGTTCAGGTTGTTAAATGTCGTGTTTATATTTTGTTTAAACATAACCAAAAACATAAAAAATAGATAACCAACTATATAATGGTGCGAAAACGAATTTTCCGAATCAGAAATGATTAAAGGAGTGATTGGAAACTCAGAGATATTTGACCAATTGATTCATGACCTTAGACTCGAAAGTACGTGACAACTTAAGTAATCTGATAGTGTGAAAACAGTTTGAGACTGCTGTAGAAACAAACCCTAAATCTCAACGTGCATCTTTACGAATTTAATACCTACTAATTAATTTTTTCTCCTGATAACCTGTGTTGATGAACGGTAAAGAAATAATCGTTTAGAAAACAAATACCATCCAAAAATATAAAGGGAGGCTGCCGCATTTTTAATCAATTCAGCGGAGGGGGCATTAAGTGACCTCCTGCGGGTATAAATCAGGCGCTGATTCCAGACGGGATTTTAATGGGAGCCGCGCGGTCCCCGGGCTATACGGGGTCCGATCGCATCGAACTCGGAAGTCGTAAATCCAAACGGAATATGCCCCAGGTATCGGGACCGCTTTTAATGAGGAACCGGCAAAAAACCGCTGGTTTTTCTATTCGTACGGCGCGGTATAGAATAGATATCCATTACTGTGACAACTGTTGTAGTTCCATACCCACATACTGTCGGCCATTTTTATATTTAACTGAATATGTAATATTAAATGGCCTTTGCCAAATATAACGAGCGTTCAAATAAAAACGTGGTCGAAGTTGGCTCTGACACATTGGACGTAGGGAGTAGCTTATAGCGACCAACTTAACCTCATTTATAATAACGTTAATGACTATATAACTTTATTTTAAAGAATAATCGTGATAACAATAACAAACAATTAAAGGAGCTGCGGAAAGTGTCCCCCTCCTTGTTATAACAATAAATTAAAGCAGCTGCTGAAAGTGTCCCCCTCCTTGTTCCAAGCACTTTTCACACCTGTTCCTCAAAGAATTAAAGACATTTTCTAAGATGCTCGGGTATTGTTAATTTCACGAATCTTGTCTATAAGTCGAGCCTGTAGGTGGTTTAAATCAGGAATAGGCAGTTCAAAAATAGTGTTTTTAAGGTAAGGCCACAAAAAGAAATCACACGGCGTAATATCACATGACCTCGGTGGAAATTCATGTTCAGCATTGAGACTTATTAGTCGATTTTGGAAAAATTCCCTCAACATATTCATCGTCTCGCCTGCCGTATGCGCCCTTGCGCCATCTTGTTGAAAGTAAAAGTTTGTAATTTCGTTTTCTTCCAGCTGGTTAACAAAAGGAGCGATAATTTCTTCTCTATACCTTTGCGCAGTAAGAGTACCATTAAAAAAAATAGGTCCATAAATCCTCCTTCGATTGAGAGCACACCAAACTCCAATTTTTTGAGCGTGTAGAGGGCCCTCGAC